CACAGTGGCATAGGTGACAAACCCAAAGCCTCTGGAGCGCTTGGTGTTTGGATCTCTCATCACCACACAGTCCGTGAGCGTTCCCCATTGCTCAAAATGGCTCCTCAGAGTCTCATCGGTTGTTTCAAAGCTCAAACCTCTGATAAAGAGCTTCCGCAGCTGCTCCAGCTCCTTGGGAGACGCAGACTTAGACATGATGACTGCAACAGGGGAAATTCCAACGATGCTTACTCCTCGGTGTTCACCAGCAGAAAGCTAGCCAGGTTCTTTCTCTATTCTCCTGTTACATCTATATTTATACCAGTTGATTTTAATCCTATCCATTCTATTCCAAAGGTTAGGGCGTTTCTTATCTCCATTCCAAGGTCACTACTCTATTGTTCTGTTAAGCTACAAGGAAGTAACTGAAGGAGATTATCCTAAGTAAAGATTATGTAGCTTAAGCGTGATTGTTCATAGTTAAGGTGATTAACTACCCACCTGGCACTTAGTTAAAGGGTTTTACGGATTTATTCCCTTCCTTAGTCCTGTTAATCCCTAACTCCAGGGAAAAATCCCCACCTGGGGAAACAACCTTTCTCGGAGAGGTGACCCTGGTTAAAACACATAGTGCTAAGAAGGGGAGCAAACATATTAAGAACAGCATGCCATATACTCCAGGTCCCTTGAAACATATGCTGTGCAGATGTTTCTTCCCTGAAGCAACTGTGTCAAGCAGCAAGGATGGACCAGCTTCCGGCATAGGATAAATGAGGGGAAAAATTAAAGGTTTTTGTCCTGGCTGGGTGGCTCAGTTGGGTACAGCATTGTCCCATAGCCCAAAAAGGGCATGTATGGGAGGCAACCAATTGATGGTTCTCTCTATCCCGAGTCGGGGTATGTATGGGAGGCAACCAATTGGTGGTTCTCTCTCTCTTTTTCTCTCCTTCCCTTCCTTTCTCTCTTAAACAAACAAAAAAAATCATTAAAAACATCCTCGGGGAGAATTTTAAAAATTACAGGTTCTTGTATATATTCTCATACATTTCTTGAAACCTGCTCTCCTAATTAACAGGGATGGCTTTTGCAATAAGGCAACTCTGATAATAGCATATTGAATGCTATGATTAATAAATGTTATACAGTACAAAAACAGACTCATGGAAAACAAATGTCCTTGCTTAGTTTTATAGTGAAGCTTGTAAAAAAGACAAGGAAACCCAAAATACTGCAGCTCTGCTTGATCATGTGAATCATTAAATGTTAGACTTGGAAATCTAGCCAATTTCCTAGTTTTACAAAAGACTCTGGGGTTGTAAAAACGTTAAGGAAGCAAATGTGAACCAAGTGTACTGAAGCTCCAAGCAAGCACAACACAGGGTGGGGCAAAAGTAAGATTTTGTTGAGTACACAAAACACAGACGTTATTCTTGTATTATTAATTACTGCATTATTTTCCATCCGAACAACTGTAAACCTACTTTTGCTCCACCCCGTATTGGTCAAATAAAAGTTTTAATTCAGAATTTAGGTAACAAAGGTAAAAAATTGAACATTCAGTAGAAAAAGCATCTCTAATTCCTAAAAGACATGATCAAGGACCAATGGCTCTTTATTATCCTGCAAACAAATTGCCAACAATTGTCATGTTGGTCATGAGGACATGTTGCATTGCTCTACAATTCAGTAAATAACAATTTATCTTCATTGTCAAAATTGAGATTAAATTAAATTTGTACCCTATTTCCAGAAAATCCTATGAATTCTAGTAGTCTGATAATCCGTGCTGGTAAGAGGGACAGCATCTGTAAGAGAAAAATAATACAAGTGTACTCACATGTTAGTGTATCTCACCGTAGGTAAATGTTAAACTCCAAACAACTTCGAGTTTTAGTAATTCAGGAATATGAAAAATTAGAACTGAGTTGAAATCACTAGACGTGTCTCAATCCTCACTTACTGCACAGGTTGCGATCATTACTTGTGAATTAATTTCATTTAGCTAAGACAATAATCTAAAAAAAATGTTTAAAAAAAGGAAAACCTGGCCTTCTCAGCATGCTCTAAAGACGACGTGCCCCGTCATGTGTAGTGATGCAATGAGGAGGAGGCAATTCCTCAGGGCCCACCGTTCCAAGCAAGGTTTCTTTTAGCGTCCTCTTCAGAAAGCACAAGGGTGTTGTATTCTGCATGACCTGCAGGCACCACCAAAGTGGACCGCTGCACGCTACAGCCCCTCCCTGGGACATCCCTGCGGAGCCGTGGTGAAGGGAAATCCTCCCAGTGCCGAACGTCCAGCACTGCACCTGGCTGTTCACTTTGCTTAGAAGGAGAAATGCCCGCATGGGTGATTATATGCGATTCATGGGCTGGAGCCCATGGTTTGTTTGGATGGTCAGGGATTTGGGAAGAGCATGATGGGAACATTGAAGACAACAAGGTCTGCGGAAGAGGTGTGTGGATGAACCTCTCTGAATGGACAAAAGCCATGAAGACAGTTGTGTCACATGTGCATGTTCACTAAAGGCTGACCTCAGCAGAGGAGGATTTTAATAACCATGTGGATGGGGTGACCCATTCTGTGGACAGTGGTCAGTCTCCTTGCTCAGCCACCTCTGTCAGCGATCCATGGGCTCGTGAACAAAGTGGCCGTGGTAACATATACACTCGTGCATACGATTCCCTTTACCAATTTGTTTTCACAACAATTCCAGTCAAACCTTAATAAAATTCAAAATCTCTAATATATCACAATTGGACAGGTATCTACTCCCAACGTTTCACCTCACCCAGAACATCAAAATCATTCCCCAAGTTGGTAAGCAATTCCTGGTTATTATAAATTTTAACCATAACTTGGGGAATGTCACTCCATCACCTATTTTTCATTTCAGAGCCGTCATTGCTATAGCAACAATATTTCTGATGGGGAAATGGAACTGGATTCCTAGGCCTTCTTACAGAAAAATGTTACTTCTCCAGAGTGCTATATGCTTCCCTTATTGTACAACCCAAAATTATTCTGAACATGTGCAGGACTTTACAACACATACTGACCAAAGCCCCCACTGGGTCTCAACAGAAGAAAACTGATCCCACTCTACCACTTACCAACCAGACCCAGGCAGAGGGTCAGGGTGAGGTTCAAATACAGTACAGAAGGCACTGAAAACCTACGATCTTTTACAAACGATTCTGGTGGGTATATAATTATTTACTTACCAAATTAAAGGCCCCTATTCCAAGTTTGACACCCCCTTCAAACTCATGGAAGAACTGTTGCTCAACTTTGTTCTTCTGAAGTATATGCAGGATAGAAAGACATTCTCTGGATTGAAGACAAAAGTTAGAGCACAAATTTATTATGACTCTGAAAATGATTAAGTCAAATTTCACACTTACACACCATAAAATAATTGTCATTGGCCAAAATTCTAGAAAATATCTAAGTGGATGCTGCTGTGTTGAGCTTTACTTTTAAAGCTATTGCATAATTATCAGTTAGGAAAAATGGCACGCTCCTTTCTACACTGTTTACCAGGACTAATCCTCTGGGCTTAAAGCAAGAGAGGTTCAAACACCAGCAAGTATGACCCAGGAGACGTAGGACAGCAGAACCTCGGTCTCCCAGCCTCCCACAATGTGGTAGAGGGGACTTCCGGGGTGCGGTCCATTCCCCAGCCACCCTATCTTCCATCAACTAACTGAGATGCTACTGACAAAAAAACCTGAATTTCAGTGTGATCACCACAGTCTCCAATAGACCAAATGAATTAGAGCTTGTGACTAGGAGACACTGAAAGAAGAAAGCAAATTCCATCACAATAGCTCCATTTGTCCTCTTATTTTTTCCTGTTCCTCCAAGCAAATCTTACTGATTTCTCACTTTAATATCTTTTCTATGCATTTCTCCCTTTCCCTTCACCTCTTCAAAAGAGAAATGCAAATTAAACTCAATGACAAAGATAGAAAATTTATAATAACCAGGAACTGCTTACCAAATTGGTAAACATATTTTAAGGATATTAAGAAATAACCAGATATTATGTGTTATGATGTAATTATAATGCATGCACCTATATTATCATGTGTTTAAGTCAAATTTATTTAACCTGAATCTAATAATCCTGTAGCTCAAACTTGCAGATTACAGGAAATATAAGGAGCTATGAACTGAATTATGTCTCACCCCCCACAAATTCATAACCACCCAGTACACTGGTGTGACAATTAGAGAAAATTGAGTAAAGCCAATACATTAGTTCATAATATTAAATCAATGTTAGTTTCTTGATTTTAGTAACTGTACTGTGGTTCTATAAGATGTTAACTTTTGTGAAACTGAGTAAAGAATATCTGAAAATTCTTATAAAATTCTGAAATTATTTCAGTGAAAAAATTTTAAAAACACACAAAAGTTTAAAGGTCTTCGTACTTTAGGATTATAAAAAAACACTTTCCTATGTTTTATTAGTATTCTTTTTAAAATATTCTAATATTAAATCTATATGGAATTTATTTTTGCATAGTCATTTTTTCAAAATGAAGACCAATTTTCCCAAAATCATTTGTTAAAGTCGCTGTCTTCCTCTACTGTTTTGAAAGAAATTTATGTATGTATAGGAATTTAGTATATTTTAATACACACAAGTGTGTGTACACGTGCGTACACACACATGACGCATCTGTTTCAAAACCCCATGTTCCATTCCACTCGTATATGTCTGTGCCATAATAAGACTATTTTAATTTCTTCAGTTTTTTAAGTTTTGATGACTAGAAGCAATCAATTTTAACAATCATTTATATCTTCTAAAATATTTTGAGAGAAAAGCTAAAAACAGTTTATCAGGATCCCACAATCCATCCCCCTCCAGGGTTTTTGAATGGAATATAATTTTATGAAATCATTTTGGGTAAAAGTATCTTTTAAAATACTAAATGCTTCAGTCTGAAAATACCCAGGAAAAAATGAAGAACACCAAAAATGGTAGCTATATGGATACATAAAGAAGACTCTAATATAAGACTATTTCAACAAAAGATTGGCACTGCATTGTGAGGTTTATAATATGCATATGTGTACTATTATCAGAATCGTATAAAAGACAACAGGTGGAATATGAAACTATACTTTTGCAAAGTTCTTATATCTTATGTGTAATGGTACAATATTAACTCTAAGTTGACCGTGACAAGAAGTATATTGCAATCACTAGAGCAACTATTAAAAAATTAAAGATGGCTACAGCTGAGAAAATAGAAGGATTATTTACTTTTTTAATTTATTAAAGCAAAAGAAGGGAAAAAACCAATGAGGCAAAGTGAAAAAAACAAAATGGTAGTCACAAGTGCAAACATATTGTCATACTGATAAAAACGAAGGACACAATGATGCGCAGCTACAAGAAATGCAATTTAAATATTTTTAAAAGGTTTAAAGTAAAAGAATATTTGCCATGCAGACATTAATTATAAAATAGCATGAATAGCTGTATTAATATCAGAAAGAAAAAAATTTCAAGACAAGGAATATTATAAGGAGTTAAGTAGGGACAATTCATACTTATAAAAAGGTTAATTTATTGGGAAAATAAACCAATTAAAAATATATAAGCCTAACATCAGAGTTTCTAAATATACAAAGCAAACACTGATGTAACTAAATGGAGAAATAAATGACTCCAGAATCAAAGTTAGGGAGTTTTAACATTGTGAGTAAATGATAAAACCACTAGATAAAAATCAAAAAGGATGCAGAAACTATGAACAACACCATGGTCCACCTTAATTGAACATTTGAATCACTGCAGAAATTTTATTGGGCAATGCTGCTCTAGAGGCTGGGCCAAAGATATACCTGTCATTTTAAATTTATGAATTGTTTTTAGAAGAGAGATACTCAGATTACCTAAACATAAATTATCAGCTAATGTTCAGCTGTTTTCCCTTAAAATTACATTGAAATTTATATTCTGTTGTCCTATAGCAGTGATGGCGAACCTATGACACGCGTGTCAGAGGTGACACGCGAACTCATTTTTTCGGTTGATTTTTGTTAAATGGCATTTAAATATATAAAATAAATATCAAAAATATAAGTCTTTGTTTTACTATGGTTGCAAAGATCAAAAAATTTCTATATGTGACACGGCACCAGAGTTAAGTTAGGGTTTTTCAAAATGTTGACACGCCGAGCTCAAAAGGTTCGCCATCACTGTCCTATAGCAATCAATCAGTAAGCCAGAAATCAAGTGCATTTTTTCCAACATCAAATTAAAAAAAAAAAACCCTAGTCATAAATTTTGGAAGTCCAAAATGGTCCATAGTACAGGAAAAACTACATCATCGTGGTCAAAAATACAAACTTCCAGTGGTAAGATTTAAAAAGCCCACATCTTCAATTTTAACTTACTTATATATATGGTAACTCGTCCTAATTTTGAGTCCACCTTTGATGAAGTTGATCATATTTTCATCCTGAAAACAATTCAATTAAATAATTAGATCATCTAGCAGGAGATTCTTAAACCTTCCCCACAGCTATGTAGCTGTGTGATCTGAACAAGATACCATCTTTTGAGAACATCATTTTTAAAATTAAAACATTCTTATTGTTTTATATTTGAAATACCGTTTCGTCATTTTTCTTCCAAGTTAGAGGACAACAGAAAGGAAACATTTTTTAAATCCTCAAATTACTTTAAGAAAGTAATTAAAGAAATAACTCTCACAATAAGGGGTCATATTGGTGAATACAAACGTACTCTAATGAACTTTCTTCTTGGTTCAATAGAATCCAAAATGGTTGGCCCTAGGAATATGATCTAAGGCCTTTGCCGTCCCTGTCCGTCAAACTCCAGTCAATGGGATTCGGTTCTTTTTTCACAGGGTATTTTAATAGACAAAGACCATTTATCATTGTGAGTGTCATTCATATATATTTCCAAACTAAAAATAACTGTTCTGGATTCTAAATTTCTTGTCAATAATATGAAGTTTTGTTTTTTGGGGGAAAAGCACTTCTCTTTGCCCAGTGGTCATCAACCATCAAATTGAGGCAGTTGGCCTAAATGAACGGCATTTTTAGACTCAGCATTCTAAGGTTCCAAAAGTCTCTTTAAAAAGCATATCAAATTAACTGCTTGAAGGAAGTTACTACAGGGTAGCAAAAGGAGGTTTACAGTTGTCTGTATGGGAAATAATACAATAAATAATAATACAATAATAAACTTTGTTTTGTGTACTCACAACTGTAAACCTACTTTTGCCCCACCCTGTATAATAGATGATGCAAATGGAGATGGTCCCATGTTTCCCATTTCTAAGAACACTTTTCTAAGCTATTAATATCAGAAAAATGCTCTGGTATTTATATCCTCTGCACTTGAACATCATCTGAAGCAAAAGAAAAATTGACTTTAGTTTACTAATTTCATTAATTACTTAAACATTTAACATTTAAATTATTATAATATTAATAAATACAAAATTCACTACACAATTTTTATCATTGTATTTTAAGGTATTTTATGATTACACAAATTGCAATAATGGCCAGGAAAAAAATGTGCTTAAATTAGATTAAAATCTGCCTCAAATAAGAATATTTTATTTCATGATTCACCAAACATTGGCTGAATGCCTGTTTTACACTATGGCACCTGGATGCAAAATTAGACGAAAGCAATGCAATGTGCTAAGCAGCGGTTCTCAACCTGTGGGTCGCGACCCCTTTGGGGGCCGAACAACCCTTTCACAGGGGTCGCCTAAGACCATCGGAAAACATATACATAATTACATATTGTTTTTGTGATTAATCACTATGCTTTAATTATGTTCAATTTGTAACAATGAAATTGGGGGTCACCACAACATGAGGAACTGTATTAAAGGGTCGCAGCATTAGGAAGGTTGAGGACCACTGTGCTAAGGGATGGAGGAATGCATGCGGATGGAGACATGCACAGCGGGATGCCATAACAGCACAAAGGTGGGAGGGCTGGAGGACGGGAAGTATCAGTGCTTAAAGCACACACACACACACACACACACACACACACACACACACACACACACACTGATTAGGAAGTAGCCTGGTGAAGAAAGGCAAAGCAGATGTAAAGTTTGCAAGCAAAGGAAAATCCAGTGGGAAGGTGAGAAAGCATTACAGGTCACGGGGTGCTTGGCCATCCTCAGCACTGCTGCAGAAATCTACAGCAAAGGGAATGACGAAGGAGTAAGAAAGCCACCTCTACCCAGGCCACTCGAATATGCAACATACCTGCCACCTGAGGCCTTCGGGAAGAAGGGAGCGGGGAACTAGGGGAGATACCGGTTTAGTTTGAAAAACCCTCCTCCATTTCTGGTATTCTAACACAGAACCACTGCTGTAGTCCGTGAGAGCTACTCAAGGCTGAGGCAGAGGAATGACAAGGTGAGGTGCTCATCTTTGAGAGGGAGCTCAATTGCACAACGGAGAATGAGCGGGAGGTCAGAGAAATTAGAGTCACGGGGGTTGCTGTCCAGCCCAGGGAAGAGCTGAGGCGCACCTCCACTGGACAATTATAATCAGAAGAAAGAGGAAGAGTTGGAGCTGCTAACTCTTCCCAAGGTAAAAGAGGCATGACCACGAGACTGACTGGATGTGGAGGCGTGCGGAAGAGGAAAACCATGGATATCTCCCGGACGTTTGATTACAAGTATCCAAGCATAACATAAGCCTTCAAATCACAGATGTGGTTGTCAAATCCCCATTTGGGAAACACATCAGAAAAAAGCGAAGGCCTCCGTGACTAACATCATGTTTATTTACTAAGGCGGGAAGACTTGTTTTTAATCAGCCTTCATAATACGTTGGATTTTAAGAAACAGGGTCATGGGCCTGATGGATTCAATTTTGCCAAACTAGGATCCAACCTAAGTGGTCACCCTTCAGCAAAAGAGAAAAGCAATTCTCAATACAATGTGAAACACTGAGATTGAGGAAAATTCTTTTCATATTACAGCTGAATTTCTACCTCTTACAATCTCCACCCCACGGCTGCCCCACGGTGCCCATCACCGCCACCCATGCTTTTTAGAAGCATTGGAAGATACAATGATAGGTACTGGTGGCAACGGTCCCTCGAGGTGAAATTAAAATGCCTCTTAGGGAAATGAGTCATGGTTTTGTTAGTGACTTTTTAAAAATGCTCATTCAGAGGAAGAACTAAAAGCAAGACAGGGGAATGAGAATAGGGAGAGAGAGAAAAATAAAATCTGAAGTATGCATGAAAGGTGTGGCTCTCGGTGCATGCATAACTGAGCTCTGCTGAAGCAGCTGATGCAAGAAGGGAATGGCCAAGGATTAGGGAAGCCTTTTATGCCCGGGCCACTGCTGTGTGCAGCCCTCTACCAAGAAGAGCAAGCACAGAGGGAGAGAGAAGCTCAGTTTTCATACAGAGGAGCATCCTGAAATTAGGTGTGGTACTTGCAAGACAGTTTCTTTAAAAGGCAGTCGTTTCCAGTAGACTGCAGTTTGAAACAGACTCTAAGTGCATGTGAATAGGAATAAAGCTCCCTGGTTTATCAGAATAACAAGTATCTTTCATTGCAGCTCTAAGTCAAAAGAACGGAAGCGCCGACATGGAAGGAGCCATGTTTTTCCTATGGAGTTTTGGCAGGCTACCCTACCCCAGCAACATGGACTCTAAAGCAAAGGTTCGTTACCTGCACAAAGGTGAGTGCTGCTTTCTGTAGGAGACACTCGGCATAACAGATTTCGGCATGCATTTCCTCTATGAAAAGAAACAAATAAAATCATATTAAGGAAAATCCCAGTGCACAGTAATTGCTCTGAGATGTTCAGAAAAGACTGGTAGATAAATGAGCCCAAGAGAAACGCAAAACCCTAGATTGCCCTGATGCTTCTGTAAAAGTGGAACGATGACCTCCGTTCTCAGTCTCTCCCCAAGATTTTCCCAGAATGTGCAAACTGGCCCAGGAGAGTCATCTTATGGTTCCACTCAAATGTGAGGGCAAGGAGTCGGGCCGTTGGTGTCAGGGACCCGAACTCAGCTCGTAAGAGGAAACCAAAATTCAAAAGCATTAAAACCAAAACAGAAAACTGCTTATTTTTAATAGCAATATTCAAGCTTAACAGTTATAAAGATTGAAAAAACTAACTTACATTTGTGAATTCTAGCTTCTAAAATATGAAGGTACGATAATCATGGCAATGATCAGACACAATAGTAACCTGAAAACAGCCATTCTCTAGAGTTCTGTGAAAAAGAACTGTGCTGTGTGCACACGTCATGGCCCCTACACACAAAGGACATGTGAAAAGCGCACGAGCCAGGTTTGAGGCTATGTTGATGGCTGTGACACCGAGCACGGGAACAAAGCCCTGGAACGGGGGCCCGTGGAGCGCCTCAAACACTGGGTCTATCTTCCCAAACAAGACATTACACTTGCAGAGACTGGGGAGAAGCGGGGAATCTTTGCATTTTTGCATGAAAAACATCAGTCAATTCCTGTTTTATCCCTGAGATGCAAATGGGTATTTTATTTAAGTAAACGAGCTTGGGGTGTTTAACAGCCCGGGTTTGAGGAGAGGCTCTGCCAAGTACTCAGCGGTAGGACCTCAAGAAAGCTCCCCGGCCTCTCTCTGCTGGTCTCCTCGTTTGCACGGCCTGACTACAAGGTCTCTACTGCAGAGCTCAGGAACCGGTGAGGTGCTGGGTGTGGAGCTCACCATTCCGAGAAGCACCTGATACATAAATAAAGCAGGACATTCTGTGTGCCGCACTGAAAACTAATAGGGTGTTTCTGTGCTAGTGGAAAAGCCGTTGAATTAAACTGGATAAGAACTATTGCTTTTATTTACACACTGTTATGCCCAGATTTCAGGATCCCCAAGAAACCACACCAGGGAGCCAGCCGTGTCCAATGCAAAAGCATAAGAGTCTTTATTCAAGCCCAGGCTTGGCTCCCCTACCCTCCTTACTGACGGAGCAGCAAGTGGCAGAGAGAGAGCTAGCCCTGTGGGAAGAGGGGTTTTATAGGGGGTTGGAGTAAGGGGAGGAGAAAGGACTGTGGGCCCTGCCGATTGGCCAGGTGCAAGTCGGTGTCTTGTTACACAGGATGTGGTCATATCTATGGTGCGCACTTCCCTTGATTGTCATTGGTTAGTTTAAAGAAGTCCTGGGTGTGGCTAGCAGAGGCTTGGGCTTCCGGGAAGAAGCCTTGCTGAGCACATGACTGCCCAAAAATGGAGGATCCAGGGTAAGATGGAGGGCATAGCCCTTACCCTGGGGCAAGATGGAGGGCGTAGTCCTCGCCCTTTCACACACCAGACCCCTGACCTCTGTCACACACACACACTACACACCACTGGTTTTCACAAATGGGTTCAACGTCCTGCCATGCTCATATTCCACAGATTGAATTTACAAAAAAAGCAACTCTACCTCTAAGATCCCCCACGAGCACCCATAAGGATGGGCCGCACTTGAGGAGTGATGGCCTCTGCACATCCCTGCAGCATCGACAGGGTCTCAGTCCTTCGAAACACCCCACCTCCACGTGTGCTTTTGGACTTTCCCGGTGTATTCAGTCGATAAAAACTGGCAACTTCTATTTGTAGAGTCACCTGACTATCCTCTCCCCCGGGTACACTTGTAACAAAGCGGGCAGGGTTAGGAACTATTCACTTTGAAAGTCTGCTCAGTAACCCAGACAGTTGGCGTGGGGCAGGTGCCACGGGGGAAGCTGCCGTTGGGCGAGGAAAGTGCAGACCACCTGCAGGAGTGCCTGTGGCTGAAGCACCAGGTATAAAGGGAGGCGTGGCCACTAAGTCTGGAAATGTTAAGTCAAAGCTAAATTATGGACAACCCTGAATGTCAGAGTCGGGCTCGATTTGGGAGGCAATGGCGAGTCCTCGCACACATCTGGGCAGAAGGGTGGCAGGGTCAGAGTTACGAATAGACAGACAAATCTATCAGCAGCTGAAGGATGTAAGCAGAAAGCAGAGATAAAAGGCAAGGACTTTTGAACTATATGTACATATTCTTCACATTAAATCCCTCTCCCATCCTAAGCACTGCCTATAACTATCTGTTCCTCAAGGCAATTCAAAAGCCATTCGGGGCGATATGCCAGCCACGAGAGAAGGACGGGTGTGTTCCATGTTAAACCCATGAAAAGTTTAATTAACTATATTTCCTCTTGCACCCAACCAGCCACTCAAGGATGTAAATGAAAATTACCAAGAGGAAAAACAAATCACACGCTAAAGCTACAATGTTTTGACATGCTCCCTTGAACACAAAGTCTGTTTGGATTGCACTGGCAGCCAAATTCATTAGGAATAAATGCAACTTAATTTGTGAAAGTCTTATTTCTTCGATGTCTTAGTTCACTGAAGGGAATACCTTCATTTTGCATTGAAATGCTAGCTAAGCATGCCTTTGGGTATAAAAGTCTAAGTAAGCCTATATTTCAGAATAGGCTATAGTCATAAGTTCACTTATTTTTTTAACTTATGATTATTAATTAATTTTTATTTTTTAGAGCAGTTTTACTAGTAGACTTCACAGCAAAACTGAGTGCATGGTACAGATTTCCCTCATAGCCTCTACCCCCACACAGGCATAGTCTCTCCCACTATCAACAATCCTCCCCTCCCCAGGGATACATTTGTTACAATTGATGAATCTCCATTGGCATCATAATCACCCAAAGTCCATAGTTTACATGAGGTCTCACTCTTGGTGTTGCACATTCTCTATGTTTGGACAAACGTACAATGACATGTATTCACCAGTATGGTATCCTACAGGGTGCCTCAGTGCCCTAAAAATCCTCCATGTTCTACCTATTCACGCCTCCACATGATCCCCCCGCAGCCACGGATCTTTTCACTCTCTCCATAGTTTTGACTTTTACAGAATGTCATATACTTGGAGTCATACAGTATGTAGCCTTTTCTGATTGGTGTCTTCTGCTTAGTAATATGCATTTAAGGTTCTTCCATGTCTTCCCATGATTTCATAGCTCTTTCTTATTCTTAGTGCTAAATAATATTCCATTGTCTGGATGTTTATCTACTCACCTACAGAAAGACATCTTGGTTGCTTACAAGTTTGGGCATTTATGAATAAAGCTGCTATAAACATTCATTTGCAGGTTTTTGTATAGACATGATGTTTCAGCTCTTTGAGGAAATATTAAGGAGAGCGACTGCTGGATTATATGGCAAAAGTATGTTTAGTTTCATAAGAGACTGCCAAACTAGCTTCCAAAGTGGCTGAACCATTCTGCATTCCCATCAGCCATGAAGGGGAATCCCTGAGGCTCCACATCCTTGCCAGCATTTCCTGTGGTCAGTGTTCCAGATTTTGGACATTCTAACAGGTGTGTAGCAGTGTCTCATTGTTGTTTACTTTTTAATATTTAGTAAAAAAGTATTCCAGATTTTCTAAAGTGCTATGTCCAAAGACATAATAAAAAGATCAGAACACAGCACCATCTATTTTCAACATCTCTAACGCAGGAACAATTCAACATTTCCCTTATCCGTATATGACTCATTCAATGACCTTTTCTACACGTCTACGGGAGAAAGTTTAGGTTACAGAGGAAAGAACTATGGCTTAGAGAAAGGTAGATCAGGTTTGAACCCTGCTCTGCTGGGCCATGTGCTTAAACTTCTGAACATTAGTTCCTACTCCATAAAGGGAAGTTACACAGATTAGATTGAATAATGCTAACGAAAACATCAAGAACAATGTCTGACACATAGACATAATGGGGCATTATCACTATTACCTTTTAAATGATGATTATTACTTATACTGACACTAAAAATACTGTTATTCTTCCCAAAACTAAGGGGGGGGGGGACCATCAAATGTCAGCCTTCATATTGGAAAAAAAAAAAAAAGGAAAGCTGAAGGCAACAGGCCACTGGAGAGAAACCAGATAGAGGAAAACAGAAAGAATACAGATGAAAGAGTCAAATTTCTTCAGGGCCCATTTAAATTCCCACTGACCGACTTTAGTGGCCTTTAGGATTACTGGGGCCAATTTACATCAATGACCCAAAGATGGAAAATATGAAGCCATATTCTACCCAAAATCAAGGGGATAAAAAAAATTCTTATGGGTTCCTACAGGTTATTTTCTGGAGAAAAGGAAGTGGGCTCCAGCTGCCTGGGGTGACACAGGAAATGCCGTTCTGTTCTGTAATGGTTTAAGGGTCGACATCATACCCTTTAGGAGCAAGTCCCATAGGCCTCTCCTGTAATCAGTGCCTAGCCTCCCATCTTACAAATGTTCGCAAGTTCTTCAATGTGTACAACAGGTTGGTGATAATGTTCTTCTAACAAAATAAGACCTCACAATACAACACATTAAAAAACTATGTCTGGCCCTGGCCATTTTGGCTCAGTGGATAGAGCATCAGCCCATGGACTAAAGGGTCCCAGGTTCGATTCCAGTCAAGGACACGTACCTCAGTTGCAGGCTCAATTCCAGATCCTGGTCAGGGCATGTGTGGGAGGCAACCAATAGATGTGCCTCTCTCACATCGATGTTTCTCTCTATCTCCCCCTCACTCTCTCTAAAAATCAATGGAAAAATACTCTCAGGAGAGGATTAACAAAAAATAATAAAAATAAATAAAAACTGTGCCTGACATACATGTGAAGACCAGGTATGACTCTGACAGAATAGTTCTGGCCTTAATCAGCCACAGCCACTTCCACTATTGGAGTTACCTCCTCCAGGGAGTCAGTTTGACAATGACGACACGTGCACAAATTCTCCTTGGATGGTAGAGCTTTACTCTAGGCTGGCCACATCTGAAGAACATGATTTTCTCCTCTGCAGGACATCTGGGTGTTCTTTTCTTAGAAACAATTCTGACTAGAGTGTCACACTTATAAAACAGAGCTGATCAGGGACCTTCTGCCCTCATCTCAGTGGGAACATAAAGGAATTGACAACAAAAAGAGTCATTTCTTTCCCTCTCCAACTAATCAAAGTGCTATGGCCATTCCCGGATTCTCGAATATTTCCTAAATATCCACAAACCAAACATCGTCCATATTGTAAAACATAATTGATGTGTGTTTTTTAAGATATCAGAATTACTCCTTTTAACCTTGAAAACAATTTAATAGCTTGCAGAAAAATAGCAACTCTCATACATGGGTGGTAAAAATATAAACTGACCTAACTCTTTGGAGAAAACACAGGTACCATCTATAAATATTAACAACTTTCAAATCCTAAGTCCCAGTCATTTCACTTTTAGGACTTTTCCTCTGAAACACTTACAAAAATGTATGAAGACATAGGTTCTAGAATTTTAGGACATGCTCCGGCTGGGTGGCTCAGTTGACTGGAGCATCGTCCCATACACCTAAATGTAACAGGTTTGGTTCCCAGTCAGGGCACATACCCAGGTTTGGGTTTGATCCCTGTGGCAACTGATTGATGTTTCTCTCTCACATCAATGTTTCTCTGTCTCTCCCTCCCTCTCCCTTCCTCTCTCTCTCTAAAATAAATGAAAACATACGCTCAGGTGAGGATTTTTTTAAAAAAGAATTTTAGGACAGCATCATTTGTAATAGTGAAAAAATAAAAACAATTCAACTGTAATTCAATAGATAAAACCAAGTAATTTACAGTACCCCATCCAGTGGAGTACTACATAACTATTAAACAGAATGAATAAAAACAATCCCATTTACCATCGCACCAAAAAAATTAAGATACCTAGGAATAAACTTAACTAAAGAGGTTAGAGACCTCTACTCAGAAAACTACAGGACGCTGAAAAAAGAGATAGAGGAAGACATAAACAGATGGAAGAACATACCATGTTCTTGGATTGGTAGAATCAACATCATTAAAATGTCCATACTACCCAAAGCAATCTATAAATTCAACGCACTTCCCATTAAAATACCAATGGCCTTCTTCAAAGATCTAGAACGAACTCTCCAAAAATTCATCTGGAATAAAAAAAGACCCCGAATAGCTGCAGCGATCCTGAGAAAGAACAAAGTAGGTGGGATCTCAATGCCAGATATCAAACTGTATTACAAAGCCACTGTTCTCAAAACTGCCTGGTACTGGCACAAGAACAGACATATAGACCAGTGGAATAGAATAGAGAGTCCAGAAATTAGCCCGAACCAATATGCTCAATTAATTTTTGACAAAGGAGGCATGAACATACAATGGAGCCAAGATAGTCTCTTCAATAAATGGTGTTGGGAAAATTGGACAGATATAGGCAAGAAAATGAAACTAGACCACCAACTTACACCATACACAAGAATAAACTCAAAATGGATAAAGGACTTAAATGTACGACAGGAAACCATAAAAATTCTAGAAGAATACAAAGGCAACAAAATCTCAGACTTATGCCAAAACAATTTCTTCACTGATACAGCTCCTAGGGCAGTTGAAACTAAAGAGAAACTGAACAAATGGGACTACATCAAAATAAAAAGCTTCTGCACAGCAAAAGAAACCATCAACAAAACAACAAGAAAACCCACCTCTTGGGAAAACATATTTGCCAACGTCATATCTGATAAGGGCTTAATCTCCAAAATTTATAGGGAACTCATACAACTTAACAAAAAGAAGATAAACAATCCAATCAAAAAATGGGCAAAGGATCTAAATAGACACCTTTCAAAAGAGGACATTCAGAAAGCCAAGAGACATATGAAAACATGCTCAAAGTCACTAATCATCCGAGAGATGCAAATCAAAACAACAATGAGGTACCATCTCACACCTGTCAGAATGGCCATCATCAACAAATCAACAAACGACAAGTGCTGGAGAGGATGTGGAGAAAAAGGAACACTTGTGCACTGCTGGTGGGAATGCAGACTGGTGCAGCCACTATGGAAGGCAGTATGGAGGTTCCTCAAAAAATTGGAAATGGAACTCCCATTTGACCCTGTGATCCCACTACTAGGAATATATCCCAAGAAACCAGAAACACCTATCAGAAAGGATATATGTAACCAGATGTTCGTAGCAGCACAATTCACCATAGCTAAGATCTGGAAACAGCCTAAGTGCCCATCAGTAGATGAATGGATTAGAAAACTGTGGTACATCTACACGATGGAATACTATGCTGCTGTTAAAAAGAAGGAACTCCTACCATTTGCAACAGCATGGATGGAACTGGAGAGCATTATGCTAAGTGAAACAAGCCAGTCAATGAAGGAAAAATACCACATGATCTCACTCATTCATGGATAATAAAGACCATTACAAACTTTTGAACAATAATAGATACAGAGGCAGAGCTGCCTCAAACTGATTGCCAAACTGCAGTGGGAAGGCCAGAGAGAGTTGGGGGGCAGGAGGGAGGGGAGTAAGAGATCAACCGAAGGACTTGTATGCATGCATATAAGCATAACTAATGGACATAAGACACTGGGGGGTAAGGGAGGGTAGGGGTGTGTCAAGGGCGGGGGGGAAAAAAAGGACACTTATGTAATACCCTTTGTAATACTTTAAGCGAAAAATAAAAAAATTTAAAAAAAATAAATAAATAAATAAATAAATAAACAGAATGAAATACAAGTTATATATACTGACATGGGAAAACATCAATATCCCAAAGAATAACATTGTAGAACAATATATACTGGTATATTATGTAATTCTATGCTTGCAAAAATGATTAATACTTGAACAACTACAAACACCCCACATCTACTTTGTGTATATTTATATATATATGTAAATATATATATATTTACATATATCTATCTATATATATATATATATATATATACACATATATATATATATATCCTATCTAATAATAGACAAACAGGGTAATTGACCATACCTTTGCTATGCTTCCCATTGGCTAATCAGCGAGATATGCAAATTAACCGCCAACAAAGATGGCAGTTAATTTGCATATGTAGGCGGGAAGCAGCAGAGTGAAGACTGAAGGTGACTTTGAAGGCAGCTCTGGCCAGAGCGAAGGCCTGGGTCCCCGGTGCCGAAGGAAAACCAGTGCAGGCAGCCAGGGGAAGGGAAGGCCTATTGCACGAATCTTTTCGTGCAACAGGCCTCTAATATATATATTAGATTCTGTATAGATATATACAGAAAAGTCTGCAAGGCTTCAAAACCAACACCTACCAGTAGTTACTTCTGGAAGGTATGATAGGGAAGAGAAAAAGACATTCCATCTACTGTATATGATATATTTAAGTATTGGCTCTTATGAGGAGCATGATCCTGTTTTGATTTTTCAAAGGAAGGAAAAAATATAATCTTTTAAATGACTCTTACCTTCAGTCATCTGTTCCAATGATCCTCTAGAAAGAAGACTTGAGAAAGATTCTACAACCGTGCTTTTTTTCCTATATCTGCATAAAGTAAGCAGGAGGGAAGGAAAGAGGAAGAAGTAACAAGAAATTAGCCCGAGCTCATTTTCACTCGACGTTCACTTCAGTCACAGTCACACCAGAGAGTCATGAAGGCAGGCAGAGCTCAACACTACAGTCCCCAGGGCAGAGACCACCCTGGGCAGCACTGCAGCCCCACCTCCCAGCACCGGGCTGGCATGCGGGGGTGCTCAACCCCTGCTCCCTGAACACGTGAGTGGACAGACCCGCATAAAACAGTGACCCCAACCTGCCAAGCACCCCCCCAGATCTGTGGCTGAACTCAGCATTTCTGTGGCAAGACTCACCACAGATAAAGAATGAACTTAAGAGTGTAATATTTGAAAGCTCTCTCTTCATGTGTGGGGCCACAAAATTAGGTGAGTATGTAATTCCACCAGGGTTAAAATTCACCAATGATGGCTAACAGCTTTTGCCAGGGTCTTCCTATGGACACAGAGCAAAGACTAAAATAAAATTGGAAACCCATCTCATTTTCACCAACCAAAGTGTTCAACTACATTCTTTGTAAGCAAATAAAACATTCCTTTCTGAATTGGCAGCATCCCCTACGAAGAGAAGAATGTGCCTTGCTTGGCCTGGTTCGGGTTGCGGTACGTAAACTCACCACAGGGAGACCCTGGAGCTGCTTGCTGCTAACCCCACTGAAATCTCAGCCCTGCTGGGCACTTCAAGTTACCACAAATGCCCCTCATTTGGACAAATGAGAAGCGTACTCTAATTCCTAATAGGGATTTTGGTCTCTATTGCATAAAACTACATGAGGCCAAGAAAGCTTTGAAGCTCAAGTCCTTTCCTTACAACTGTGGCCAACTTCCAACAGTTCTCAGTCAGGCAAACCGCATTCATATGATCACACAGACATATAGGTTTATAGTCATATCTCAAGCATGTAATTACTGAGTTCATACTTTTGGCAGGTTTGCAAGGCGTCCCTCATGGCGGAAATGCCATTTTGGATGTCCTGTTGCTCGAAGGTCATGATGGCCTGCAATACCACAATGGTACTGTAGCCCAAGGCATGGTACATGCTGTCCTTAGCCCTGGGGGCAACACAGGGAAATAGCACATTTCAATTCAAACTGGAAAGCATTCAGGTCTAGTCTGATAGTCATCGTGAGAAATCCTAATACATGCATGTCTTGACTTTCACAGTGATAATCTTTACTCCTTTGCCACAGTCCCTGAAAGCATAGGAACTATAAAAGACGGGCCCTAAAACAACAATTTAAGCTCACACAAGCAGCACAGAACACTGCAGGCTGAAGGAAAAGGAGTCGAGATGCTTTTCCCTGTTTCAGCACAAGGGGGCAGCCTGCGGGTTCATTTCCTAGAAAATATTTCAAAGCAAACCGCTTTTCCCCAGTTGAACCAAGGGCAGTGTGCTGCCTTTAGCTCTGATATCAGTGCTACAATAAAAGCCACTAGAAATATATTTTGTGATGGATTCTGATATTTTTTGAAAGATAAAGACTCGTTAAAAATTGTCCCCTCTCTGCCCTAACCGGTTTGGATCAGTGGATAGAGCGTCGGCCTGCGGACTGAAGGGTCCCAGGTTCGATTCCGGTCAAGGGTATGTACCTTGGTTGCGGGCACATCCCCAGTAGGGGGTGTGCAGGACGCAGCTGAATCGATGTTTCTCTCTCATCGATGTTTCTAACTCTCTATCCTTCTCCCTTCCTCTCTGTAAAAAAATCAATAAAAAATATATTTTTTTTAAAAAGTGTCCCCTCTCTGCCCTAGCTGGTTTTTCTCAGTGGATAGAGCATCAGCCTGAGGATCAAAGGATCCCGGGTTTGATTCTGGCCAAGGTTATATACCTTGGTTGCAGGCTTCTCCCTGCCCCAGGCCCTGGTCAGGGCTTGTGTAGGAGGCCAATCAATGTGTTTCTCTCACACCAATGTTTCTCTCTGTCTTTCCCTCTTTCTTCCCTAAAATATCAATGGAAAAATATCCTCGAGTGAAGAATAACAAAAAAAAAATTGTCCCCTTTCCTCTCCCAGCCAGAGGCAACATTTTTGCAATAAAGTTAGGTAGGCAGACAAAAGCACATTTTAAACTCCATCTCTAACCTAATCCCATTATCTGAGATTCCTGATTAAAGTTCTTGATAATTCACATTACCAGTGAGAATCACTTAGATTCTTAGGAAGGTCAGCTAGTCCTGATGTATGGCAGACACCCCAGATTCTCAGGCTGTGAAAAAACCTCACCATCACTTTTCTTAAAACTTCTTAAATTACGTTAATTACTTATAAGATGTAAAATGTCAATGCACGATTCTGGTTTTAATTCAAATATTATCACAACAGCCTGCTGCTGTGCAAAACAAGTGCAAGCCACTTTATTCTCTTCCCCCACGGACATAGTCTAAACATCCTTCGGTAATTTGCAGCTTCTCCTGAACAGTGAGGGCACTGGTTGTTCAAAAGGACCGCAAGGAATAAAAGCAGCCCAAAGTTAATCAGTAACTGGGGTTTTAGACCTCATATTTAAACCGGAAGGTCCTCCAAGAGGAAAAAAAGTATTCAAGTAGGAAAAATAAGATCAGAGAATCTATAGCTCCATTAAATACAATACTAAATCATTTCTTTTCATTCCATATTATGTCCAGCTGATTTCAGTGGCATAGAAAAAAAAAAGGAGACGTGTTTGACTGAAAAAGAAGGAGACGGGCAGGCAGGCTGAGAGAGGAGAGACAAAGAAAAAAATACAGACAGAGAAAAGACAGGGAAAGGCAGAGACACAAGATAGAGAGACGGAGAAGTCATTGGGCGAAAAGGTAGGAGACAGGCAAGGTAGAGGATGCGAGACAAACAATGGAGACAGCACTGGACAATTTCTATAGGCTACAGGCTTCACCATCTATCTATAATAATAAAAGCATAATATGCTAATTAGACCGGAAAGCTGAATGACCTTCCAGACGTCCTTCTGGATGACCTTCTGGATAAAGCCGGGGCTGCAAGGTCCAAGCCTCTTGCACAAATTTCATGCACCGGGCCTCTAGCTTTAACATATATTCCCAACCTCTGAAATGCTAATTGATCAAGATCACCTAAATCTGAATAGAACTGCCTTTGCAGTTTCTCAGTAGGTAAATCCATTTTTAAAATTCAAGGTCAAGGACAAGAATCACATCACCCTACTGATGGCTCAAAAGAATAAGATTCCCACTTTTGTGCCCAGCTAAGCTTCTAGAAAATTATGAGGTCTATGCTTAACCCAAGGAAGTGACTGTGTCTGAAGAAACAATGTGAGAGTAAGCATTCCTGTAAAGCTATAGTTACACCACGGGGCTGAGGACTGTGGTCAAAGTGAGGCCTAATAAGAAGGCTGAGCACAGAGGGGGAAAATTAACAGGAACTATTAACTGAAATTAAGTTGTTTAACCTAAGTTTATCACATAAGCAGGGAGTCCCGATAATATTTATATCATTTTAAATGTTAGCACTTGAGATAAGCATTTCTAGTTCTTCCCTTTCCCAATTCAAAGGAAACTCTTCTCAATTATATTTAAGGTTAAGAGGAACATCCGTAAAAATAGTTCACTGACAAAAGCAAAATGGAGTTCTATAAAACTACATAAATGACACTATTTAAACAAATATAGAAATTAAAGGATGAGAAAAAATCAGAAATTTTCTACTGAATAAAGTTGAAAAGACAGATTTCTTAACTGGATATTAAGAGGTCTCAAATATTTAGGTGGAAACACAAATAAATTAACTGACAAGTATGGCATAAAAGACATGAATGTCATCAAAAACATGTGAAAAAATATATTTTACCTAAAAGAAACAAAGTTAATTACCATGGTTGAAGCAATTCTAAGGCATCTTTAAATTTGTTATTCAGAAATAATTTCAGTGCCACTTCACATTCTTCCAGGCCATGCTTGAGATCCATCTTGGTTGATGATGACCTAAAGATCAAGAAAAATATATATGTAATTTCTATCGTTTTTACTATTAGCAAGTTGTCTCAGGGAGAGTGTGTGTGTGTGTGTGTGTGTGTGTGTGTACACATGTACTTTGCATACAGATAGGCTAAAAATTCTAACTCTGCCACTTACTAGCAGTGTCTTGAACCTCTGAGAGCTGACTTTCTCATCTGTAAAATGGGACACCACACCCTACTTCATGGGGCCATGGTGAGGATGGAGTTTATAACAAATATGGCTCATTGCAGGCAGTGAATAAATGATAGTTATGCCCTCCCCCCCCCCAACCCCCATCACTCCACCACAAGTAGAGGAACTGCCTTTTTTCATGGGAGAGGCCAAGGTTATTTGTTTTCATTTGGCTATATAAAGGGGAGAAATGTGCTTCAGTGGAAAACTGAATTGTCTAAGGGAGACCCCTCCTAGTTACTTGCTTTCAATTTTATGGTAGTTTTCTTACAACTCTGTGAATTGTAACTGATAGCAATGCAAACTATTTGTTGTCTATAGACATATCAATTTAGTCCCAGCCAGTAGAGGTTCAACTGACTTCCCTCCAGTGTGAAAGAAGCTAGTTGTTCTTGAATTTACATATTCATTTCAACACTTTTTAGTCCATATAAATTTGTGCTGTCTTCATTTCTCCTTTGAATCTGCTATAACATCTGCCTAGTTCCTTCATTGATTAATGAGTTAAGTAAAGTCTTTCAAATGTGGTGATTTCTATATCTCTATGAGAGTCATGATTATATATTATTTGAAAATTATCTGTTAATTAATTATTGATAGAAATATTTCGGTAAGCAAATGAGTAGTACAATTTATTTCAAAGTACTTCATGTTGAATTTCCATGCCTCCAACCTCTCCAAATTCATTCTTTCAAGCATGAAAACAAAATCTTACCAGTTACTCATCTACCAAAAATGGGTTCTGAAGGTTCTACAGGAAACGGTCCTCTGCCTCTAAAACTTCTCATGGCTGGTTCCTTCCTGTTATTCAGATCTTAGCTCAAGAAGCATCAACTCAGAACTGCCTCAGTGGCCACACCCATACTGTCTCACTGTTTTTTCACTCCACACCACTCATTACCGTCCCCCGTGTCCCATGCAGCATTTTGGACATGTTTGTCTTTGTCTATCTTCCTGCTCTAGAACACAAATGCAAGGAGGTTGTTCTAGTCACTGCTGTGCCACCAGCATCTTCAGTGAGATCTAGAACATAGTACATACTCATTCAATATTGTTGAGCTGGTGGCTGGGTGGGTGGTGAGGTAAAGCTGATCTGGGTAGGAACACAGAATTCCTCATGCCTAGAGCTTGAAGGTGGTGCCGAAATGAGACAAGTTCTTGGTGGAGGGGTAGCTGAAGAGCTGAAAATTTGTGATGGTTAATTTTATGTGTCAACTTGACTGGACTAAAGGGATGTCCAGACAGCTGGTAAGACACTATTTCTGGATGTGTCTGTGAAGGGTGTTTCTAGAAGAGACTAGCTGTTAAATTGGTGAACTGAGTAAAGCAGATGGCCCTCCCCAGTGTGGGTGGGCATCATCCAATCCACTTTATCCAGTTGTCCATCGATGGATTGCTTCTATATCTTGGCTATTGTAAATAATGCTGCAGTGAACATAGGGGTGCATATATCTTTTCATATTAGTGTTTTGGATTTTTTTGGATAAATACCTAGAAGTGGGAATGCTGAGTCATATGTTAGTCCTATTTTTAATTTTTTGAGGTAACTCCATACTGCTTTCCACTGTGGCTGCACCAGTCTGCATTCCCACCAGCAGTGCATGAGGGTTCGCTTTTCTCAACATCCTCCCCAACACTTGTTTGTTGATTTATTGATGATAACCATTCTGTCAGGTGTGAAGCGATATTTCATTGTGGCTTTTTTTTCTTTATTTATTGATTAAGGTATTACATATGTGTCCTTATCCCCCTATTGCCCACCCACCCCCGCTCATGCCCTCACCCCCCTGGTGTCTGTGTCCATTGGTTATGTTTATATGCAGGCATACAAGTCCTATGGTTGATCTCTCCCCCTTACTCCCACCCTCCCCTACCTTCTCTCTGAGGTTTGAGCATCTGATCGATGCTTCTCTGTCTCTGGATCTATTTTTGTTCATCAGTTTTTGTTGTTCATTATAGTCCACAAATGAGTGAGATCATGTGATATTTATCTTTCTCTGACTGACTTATTTCACTTAGCATAATGCTTTCCAGGACCATCCATGCTGTTGCAAATGGTAGGAGTTCCTTTCATTGTGGCTTTAATTTGCATTTCTCTGATGATTAATGACATAGAGCATCTTTTCATTTGTCTATTCACCATCTGTATGTCCTCTTTGGAGACATGTCTATTTAGATCCTCTGCCTGTTTTTTAATTGGATTGTTTGTTTTTGGGTATTATGTTATATCAGTTTCTTACATATTTGGATATTAAGCACCATTAGATGTATCGTTGGTGAATGTCTTCTCCCATTCAGTAGGTAGTCTTTCGGCTTGTTGATTGTTTCCTTTGTTGTGCAAAAACCCTTTAAGTTTGATTTAGTCCCACATTTGTTTATATTTCCTTTTGTTTCCTTTGCTTAAGGAGACATATCCAAAAAAATATTACTAAGAGCCATGCCAGATATTTTACTGTCTATGTTTTCTTCTAGGAGTTTTATGGTTTGGGGTCTTACATTTAAATTTAAGTCTTTAATCCACTTTGAGTTTATTCTTGCAGTATATCGTGTAAGAAAGTAGTCGTTTACTTCTTTCTTTCTTTCTTTTTTTTTTTTACATGAAACCATCCAGTTTTCCCAACATCATTTATTGAAGAGGCAGTCTTTACCCCATTGCATATTCTTCCCTTCTTTTTCATAGATTAATTGACCACATAGGCGTGGGTTTATTTCTGGATTCTCCATTCTGTTCCATTAATCTATGTGTCTGTTTTTATGCCAATACCATGCTGTTTTAATTACTATAGGATACTTTGATATCAGCATGAAACCTCCACCTCTGTTCTTCTTTCTCCAGATGGCTTTGGCTTTACCAGCACTTCTGTCTGGGAGAAAGCTGCCCCTCCAGTTCTTGGCACTTTTCGAGCTGCTGCCCCAGTGCTGGAGCTCAGAGCAAAGGAGTCCCTCAGTGAGTAAGGCCCCGCACAGACCCTTTATGAGGAAAGCCTGGGATCCCAGCTACTTTTCATCTTATCAGGATGCACAAAATCCCTGCTGATTTTCACAGCCAGAAGTTGTGGGGACTCCTCTTCCCAGGCTGGAGAGTCCAGAGTGGGTCTGAAACCCCTCGCTCCTCAGGGGGAACCTCCACAACCGACATAGCCCCACTGATTCTTAACCGCCACACCTGGGTGTGGAACCAGACTGTTTTGTGTCCAGCCCTCCTACTGGCCTCAACTTGGCTTCTTCTTTATATCCTTGTTTATGAGTTCTGTTCGGCCAGTCTTCAGGTGGTTCTTAAGGGTGTTGTTCTATAATTTAGTTGTAATTTTGATGTGTTTGCAGGAGAAAGCAAGCGCAGCATTTAACTACTCCGCCATCCTGACCGAACTTCCTTTATATATCTCTAACCTCTTCTTTTCTGACCCCTTTTCAACTCAGAAACACAAATCTTACTTATTTCTACTTAATGTTAACGAAGCAAAAAAGGGTAACTTTCCTTCACTCTTATTTTCTCTCTTAACACCATACCCTTTATTTAGTACTGCTTTTGGTAATTTTTTTAGTATTTTATTACAGCTTTCAAACTCAGCATTATAAATATTAATGTAATAGGAACCTAGGAAACTATCAGATAAATTAGAGGATAACTCTGAAAGAGGGGCATATATTTCTGAAGAAAGCTCAGATTTCCATGAACAGAGACATAGGGAACAAAATAGTATTGTGAAAAATAAATGCCTTAAGATACTTACAAGTTATTTTCAAGTTCATCTCCATTCCTCAACCCTCATATTATTGCACCTTTTTCTTACATTGACAAACTGAGTATTATGAACACATTCATAAATAGCTAAAAATTTCAAATGCAAAATACAAAAATGCTAAAGATCTGTGGTATAATTAAAGTCTAATAAACCTGTAGGATGAAAAGTACTTTTTAAAAATATATTTTTTATTGATTTCAGAGAGGAAGGGAGAGGTAGAAAAACATCAATGATGAGAGAATCATCGATTGGCTGCCTCCTGCACGTCCCACACTGGGGATTGAGCCCGCAACCTGGGCATGTGCCCTGACCGGGTATCAAACTGTGACCTTCTGGTCCAGCTTTAACAGAGTTGCCTTAATAACTGATAAAGGAATAACCTACATGTTAAAAAGAAATAACTAGTTAATTCCAGAATAGGCAGGAAAGGAACAGAATTTAGCAATTAAATTTGATATTATATAAAATACTTAAGGAAAAGAAAAAATGTCATGATTAACTAAGTTTTAAAAAGCAGAATACTAAACAATATATTTAATATAATCCTAATTAAGCAAAAACAAAAGTTAGTATCTTTATATACAAGGGGGAAAAGAAAGAATATACATCTAAAAAATTGTTGTGGTAGTTATGGTGATAGTAGTACATATTTTATTCTTTATGATTTTTCTATATTTCCTGATTTTCTGTAATGAACATTTTTTTAAATGCACTTTTAAGCCAAGATTACAAGAAGAATATTATTAGAAAAATAATCATAATATAATACTGACTGAAAACTCTTTGGTTATATCCATTTCAAGAAACACATGCCCAGGGAAAAGACTGGAATGAAAGACACCAAAATTCTAACAGTCTGTATTAAAGTCATAATGACAGTTTATGTTTCCCCTTCCTCCATTTTCCTTGATGCTTGGCAATGTGGTTATATTATTTTATTTAAAAAGTAATGGTTTGCCCTAGCCAGTTTGCCTCAGTGGATATAGCGTCGGCCTGCAGACTGAAGGGTCCCAGGTTCGATTCGGTCAAGGGCACATGCCCGGGTTGCAGGCTCGATCCCCAGTAGGGGGTGTGCAGGAGGCAGCCAATCAATTAATCCCTCTCATCATTGATGTTTCCATCTCTTTCTCCCTCTCCCTTTCTCTCTGAAATTAATAAAAAATATCTATTTTTAAAAATTAATGGTTTAAAAAATTTGAGGTAACAAAGACACAAAGGGAGCTATGCCCCAGAAGTTTAATTTTGTTTTGTTCCTGCTTTTATGTAACAGTGACACCTAGGCACTGAGTCCCTTAGCCTCCTTCCCTAATTTGTAAAATGGGCCCTCTACCTGCCTGGGCCTCTCCTCTCCCCACAGATCAATAAAACACAGAGCCTGTTCTGACATCAGCATTGCAGTTCACCGAAGGGTAGGACTGGTCCCCCCAGGAACGCTCGCACCCTTTCTGACCTGCTCGCTTTGGATGGTCGGTGCTGTCCGGAGGCCTGTTTTGCATCCAGTGACGCCAACTGAGGTCTGCTTGTTGCCATATCTGTGCGAAAAGGCCTGTTAATAAAGAAGGCAGAGTGAGGTGTCTTACAGGAAACGTTCACATAAACTTAAGTACACACACAAGTCCTTCAATTATTTACTGCATCTCACCTCCACTTCTTTTTTTTAAGATTTTTTAAATTGATTTTTGGAGAGAGAGGAAGGGAGAGGGAGAGAGAAACATTGATGTGAGAGAGAAACATGGATCGGCTGCTTCCTGCACACCCCCTACTGGGGATCCAGCCAGCAACCTTTCAGGGCCACGCCCAACCACCTGAGTAACATCAGCCGGGGCATCTACATTTCTTAGCAATTTAGAAAAACTGTTCAGTTACATGGTGAACATTCCTGAAATATGGCACCAATAAAATAAACTTATTTTTCTTTTATTCTAGTGCGCACACACACACACACACACACACACACAGAACTGACACACACAGAACTGAAATCATCCCCCACAGCTCTCCACCCACACACAGCATTGTACCTTGTATATATCCTTGCATATCTTTTCCCAAGTAAATCTACACATATATTTTTATATTTTACTAGAGGTCCAGTGCACGAATTCATGCATGGGTGGGGTTCCTCAGTCTGGCCAACGATCGGGGCCAATAGAGGCTGATCGGGGCCAGCTGGCCAGGGGGAGGGACCGCGGGAGGTTGGCTGGCCAGGGAAGGTTGGCTGTAGGAGCACACTGACCACCAGGAGCAGCTCCTGCGTTGAGCATCTGCCCCCTGGTGGTCAGTGCACATCATAGCGACCAGTCGTAACAGTCGCTTAGGCTTTTATATATATATAGATTAAAATGGAATATTATAGTAGAGGAGAAATAAGTTTTCTTTGACCCCCTTAGGGTCCCTGGTTGGGTCTGAAAAGTAAAGTTACAAAGACAGGTTAACAAGAGAAAAGCATATAAATTTTATTGAATTTTTACATGTACATGGGAGCCTTCACAAGAGAATGAAGCCTCAAAGAAGTGAACAATAGGAAGCTTTTATACCTGTTAGACAAAGAAACAATAAGTTTGTGAATAACTGACAAGACAAGGAATTGGGCTAGGAGTAGTAAATGGTGAAGAAGTAACTAGGAAGATAAGGATTGCTTTAATAAGGTTTGTCTGCAGATTCTATGGGCTGATAGGTGTCTGTCTCTAGTAAAAGAATTTATTCCCTGCCTTTATGCAGAAAAGGGAGAGCTTTTACTGCTTTTACTGCTTAATTTGTTTCCCACATGGACAGGCAATTATCCCAACACCAATAAATAACTCATCCTTCAGCTACTCCTTAGCTTGGAAATAAGACAAAAGAAAAACCAATGTCCTTTCAGTGTCATGTTGGAGCACTAACAGGCCCACCCAAAGATATACCTTTGTTTGATTTGCTAATGACTATTGATTGAGGCCTATACTCTGTAAAATTATATGTTAACTTATAGTTTCTTTTCTGGTAAATACCCAAATAATTAGTCTGGTAAGGTTATGGTTTTATTGCCTTGTAAGATATTAACCAGTTTTAAATATAGCAAATCTTATTCCAAAATTCTTTCTTCCATTCCCCAAATATTTTTGGAACCAGTTTTACCATCTTGCTGATTGATAAATAAATCTTTGACATTTGTTTGTTGTGTAATTTTTACACGATGACATACTGAATAACACTGCAACTCTGTAACACAGGGCAAGTTTCCATATGTACACACGTCTGTTTCCAGGCATTCTTGCTCCACCCATGTATCTGCCTCTCTCTGCACTTTTCACTATCATGGCTTTCTTTATATGCCAAAGGAGCAAGCCCTCTACTTTATTAAATGTTCTTTTTCCGGGGGGTGGAGAGGGGACTGCTATTATTTTACCTTCAATCTTAGTTATAAATTTTAGAATAAGTTATTATAGAGTTACCAAAAAAAGTCCTGCCATGGTGTTTCCTGGGACTTCATTACATTTCTAGCAAACTTTGCAGAGAACTGCTATCTTCACAATATTATATTTTCACATCTATACACATTTATTCAAGTCTTATTTCCTTCAGTAAAGGTTTTTAATATCTGAAACACTGCAGTGGAGTACATGCATCCTTGCAAAAAAAAAAAAAAAAAGCCATGCTAAACGTTCTTTAAATTGCTTCAGGTTTAGGATCCGTTCCGCCAAAGTAAGCGCAGTTATTAAACATTTAAATAGAAAGACTTGTCTGTTCCACTCCTGAGCATAACCAAGATGTTATACTGAGATGTTAGAAGAAACGTATTTTTAGGCAGTGAAAAATGTTATTTGTTTGACAGGTGCTAAAGAAAACATCGTATTTCAATTACTGTTATGAGTGTGTTGGAAAATACATCCTCATTTTGCCCTGTATTTACTGCTCTAATTTATTTAAGTTTCTAAAAAAGCTTCATTGAGATATAATTCACAGACCACGCAATTTACCCATTTAAAGCATACAATCAATGGTTTTTAGTATACTCATATTGATAGCATTGTGCAACTATCACCACAATCTAATTTTTAAAGTATTTTGTCACCCAAAAGAAACCTTGTATTCATCCATTAGCTGTCATTCCCCATAGTTCTTTGTATCTACACATTTGCTATAACTGGCTTTTTTCACTTAGCATAATGTTTTTAAGATTCATCCATGTTACTACATGTATCAGTACTTCATTCTTTTTAATGGCCAAATAATATTTCATTGTATGGATATAATACATTTTGTTTATTATTTCATTTGTTGCTGGATATATGAGTTATTTTCACTTTTTTACTATCATGAATAATGCTGCTATTAACATTCATGTACAAGTTCTTATGTTGATATATATTTCCTTTTTCTTGGGTATATACCTAGGAGTGGGATTGCTGAGTAAAATGGTAACTCTATGTCTAATATTTCAAAAAACTGTCGGACCATTTTCCAAATTGGCTGTGAGATTCTGCATCCCTACCAGTAATATATGAGAGTCCCAATCTCTCCATATCTTGGCCAACACTTGTTATTGTCCATCTTCGTGTGGGTAATGGTATCTCATTATGGTTTTGCCTTTCATTTGCCTAAAGACTAATGATATTGAGCATCTGTTTAGGTACTCATTGGCCATTTGTGTGTCTTCTTTGGAGAAATGTCTATGCAGGTTCTTTGGCCATTTGTTACTTGGGTTATTTGTCTTTTTATTTTTGTGTTTTATACTACTCTAATTTTTAATCATGAGGTAGAACTATTTTCAAATAAAAAACTTACAGCTGTCTTTGTTTATACTTTTTCTCTCATTCAAGTCATAATTAGCAGAATTAATTCAAATTTAATTTCCTAATAAATTCAACGCAATGTGCTATGTTCCTGCACAATAAAAAGCTAGCTCATTTTGAAAAGCAAAAAATGAAGTAAAAATTTCAAGAATTATTAAAAGACAATATCCTTCCAGCTTTTCATCAAAGTTAAAATCTCTCTTTAAGAGGAGAAAAGGAATGAACAGAGATGGCCAACCGTTATGCTATGAGAGGCACCATTTATATAATCTACAGTCTGAACAGTGTCCACCAGCATTATGAACATAGGACTCCAGTGGATACCACCACCAGATTTCCAGGAAATTTATTGCTTAATATTATTGGCCATATGATTAGCTTGTCTTTCTTACTAAAGAAAACTGCTCACCAGACCAAATTCTGCCCAATCGGCAATTCCTTCAAATAGCCATTCTCAGGGCCACTGATCAGAGGCAGAGGGGACTGCTGCAGCTGCCGCTGGGAGAGCAAGAAGAGCCCAGAAACTAGCAGGTACTCCCCCACGAACCTCTGACTTGTCAGCTCCTACGCAGGCCTGTCACCAGTGCTATCAGAATCAAGGGAACGGAATTCCAACATTTTCTCACCACTCTTGCAAGTGGAAACTCCCAACAAGACTGTGTGGATTTACTGACTGACTGACTGAACAAACGGACAAACAGAGAAGCAACTGGCAGATGGCACTGATTTATTTTTTACTGGAAGGAACTGGCCCTCACTCTCATCTGGTCAATCCAACCACCTGAACTATCTGATGTTCCAGACACACTGTTCTAAGACAACCAATGATTGGAAATGCAACTAGAAGCCAACAGCCAGGAAAAGATTAAGCCAATTCAACAGAAGGAAGAGTTCAAGGAAGTGGACAAGCTTAACTTGAAAGAACAGTTAGAGGAAAGCAGAGAAAAGGAAAGAACATGAAAGCTATTCCCAGACATTTCCCTCTCTAATTCAGCCTTCTAAACCACATTCCCTGGAGCTGCTACTGCCAAATGACTCTGAAAAATACATGTGATGTGTGTACAGAGAGAATAATAAAGCAAATGTGGCAAAATGTTGAAAATGGATTAAGGGTACACATTAAATCCTCTGTTATTCTCACACCTTTTTGCTACGTTTGGAATTATTGCAAAGTAAGAAAATGTTTTTAAAAAACACCTTAGATGGCCCTGTAGCAAAGGGCAGCAATAGGGATCAAATGAGTGGTCACTGGACCTCAGTCACTGGCCTCGCCAATGCCAGTGGAGAATGCTAAGCCCTCAGGGTCAGGGACACACCAAGTCCAGCCACCACAGGTGCCTGGGGGGCAGAGGCAGTGGAACCAAACAAAATGGATTTGCCGCTCTGGGTGTTTTATTCAAGAACAAGTCATGGTTATCATTAGGTATTTTATGCAGCAACTAAAGGGGATTCACATCCAGATCTCTGTCTGCCCCGAGGGAGGCTTAGCCATTGCTTATATCCACGATTTGGTTAATTACATGTTGATTTCTTCTTTGCAGTTGGCTAAATGATTAGGTTCCAGGCAAGCTCATCCAGTTACAGCTGTGTCTGCCAAGTACTGTGCTACACTTTAACACTTAGCAGGAAGAGCATTAGTAAAAACTGCCCAGACCTTGAGACCCTTGTCCTATGTAGCAGCAGCAAGGACAGAGGGCAATGCAAAAACAACTGGATGTAGCCACCAACCAGAGAGCAAGACCCAGATCCTGCTCCATCACACTCCACTTCC